AAAAAGTATTCATTCAATGGACGATTTAATCTGACTGCTGTAATTTATTTAAAATAAACAAAAAAAAACGAAAAATAAATAAAACTTGAATTTCATGTAAATAAACTCTCATATATATTTAAATTAATTCATTTTCATTTATACCGTGAATATCTTTTCCGCTGATCCAAAATGAAAATGGAGCTGTTAGTAATTGGGTAAAACGATTATTTGTGTGATGATGCAAACAATAAAAAAATCTCATGAATACAATTTGTCTAAAAAACTATTATGAAAAAAAAAATTCGATTAAAAAGCGGAAAAATGTTTTTAATAATAAAATGGGAAACGGAAAGTGCATAGTGCTAGGCCAAGGTTCCTCAATTGAAACGGTTCAAAGTAAACGCATTTAATTTTTAATTTAATTTTTATCCATTTTACTCGAGTTTTTTCACTCCTCAAAACTAATGAATGCAATTTTGAAAAAAAAATCATACACAAAAAACGAATAATACAAAAAACCAGAACCAACTAAAAGAGGAATAAAAGATAAAAAGTTGAAAAGAAATTCCACACAAAAAAAAGGAAAATATACATTTGGCTTGTGCAAACCAAGTCCAAAAATTATCTACCACAACAACTGCAAAACTAGAATGTGCATCAGCATTAAAAATAACCGTTACAGGAGTAACACCCAACATTGACAACAATGCCACAACCACAATCTGAAAATGTTTTAAACGGAATTTCTCCACTGGCTACCAGTACGTCAGACCTGCCAGTCAGATTGTCATTTGCTCAGCAACCAAAACCCAAATGAAAACATTCCCCTTTGCAGCGATTCGGTTTTCTGTTGGAAAATGAAAATGCAGTTCACAAAAAAATAGTGCAACGATTCCATTGCAATTCTTGGGGCCGTGCAAAATAAAGTTTTTCATGTCATTTTTTTATCCTTACTCGCATTTTTATGCTTGTTTGTTAAACTGACAACAATAAAATTACACCTAAAGGTGTAATCTATAAGTTTAATTGTGGAAGTTAGAAGAACTACTTTAAGAACTCCAGAAATAAACAGGGAATAAGGATATGCAGTCATCTCTTCCATGTTTCATGTTGTAAGGTAAGGTATTGGAGCTTAGTGTATTAACTATTTAAAATTATTTTCAGTTTTTAAAGAGATTGAATTAAGATATACGTAACGATACCGTGTCCTAATCACTAAGTTTCTCAAGTTTTTAAAGTTTCTTTAAGGAAAATATAGTTTTTTTCTTACAAAACGAAGAGTTAAAACATCGACGGTCTAAGTCAGTGAATGACATTAAGACTTTTAAAATCTCATTTTTAGAGCATTTTTGCTCAATTGTCCATTTGTTGATCAAGTACGTTACCTCTAAGTTGTATGCTCTACAATAGCATGCGTTTTTGCTTCAATTCTTTTAGCCAACCTGAGTTTAGTCATTATATTCACTGCAGCAAAATCGTCCATTTTTTTAAGCATCACATACATGTATCTATAACTCCGTCTAAGACTTTTTCAATTTTTGAACTCGCATCTGCAAAACAAGTGTATTCTAAAAGAACTTGCTACGCATGTTCTAGTTTTGTTCATGTAACTATCACCGAATGAATAAGATTCATACTGGAAGTGCTATATACATTACTATGTCTGCTAAGAAGTTGGGTTAGGTATTAGTCCATCTTACCATTCTTATTCATATCGTTTTGCAAAAGTGCGTCTGTACTTATAAATGCAAGTTGTTGTAAAAGTGAATGTTGGAAACCAATAATGTGGTACATGTTTACTAATAAATCAATGGTTGTCCATAAAGAACTCGTCTATGAAAGATCTAAATTTTTTCCACCTATAAAGAGTTATAGCGAAAGAAAAGCAGAAAGCCGATGTGTTGTTAATTCTCAAGAAACTGAAAAAAAGTCTACTAACAAGCTTTCAGAAACCAATAAGTTAACTTCTGTTAAATGCAAATACTTTCAGTAGTTGCTTCTTTTGATAATCTTGCTTATTAATATATATTGATCATTACTATAATTTAACATAGATGTGAAGTAAAATAAAATATTATATCTCTGTACTTAATTAAATATAGAACGATCTGTCATACACGTCTTGAAGACATAGTTAGATATATCTCTGAACATTAAAAGGTTAAATTTTATGGTGGCCTTTGATAATAATTTCGAACAAATGTTTAAAATATCGTGTATGACATTTTGCAGTCATTTTTTCAGGACTTGACAAATTTATGGTTGTACCGTTTTCATCAGAGACATTCATCATCCATTCCATTAGAGACAAATTGTGCAACTATGAAGTTACCAAATCAGAAAGAACACGATATTGAGCAAAACGAAATGACAGATAAACTTGCAAAGGAACGATCAAACTATAACTTCTGCGGCTCTGAGCCCAGTTTACCATTGGGCTACAATATGACAGTGGCCAATATCGATAAGTGGATAGCTTTATTTTAGCTTAGCAGGTGGAGAAAGATAATAACTTGTAGACAGGTTAAACTCATGATGATAAAGTGAAGCGTTAAAAGCTATCCGTGAAGTCCTCTAAGTTTGCTGAATTCATTGATTACTAGATATGCAAACTTCAAATATTACTTCAAAAAGATAGTTATTATTGAAGAAGACACTTGAGGACTGTGTCTAAGAAAAAAGGAGACAGCGGTGCATATATAATGTCAATGTCCAATACTGGCAAGCAGAAGGATGCTTGTTTTGGGACACCATTGGGTTGGTGCTGACTTGGAAGAAAACATCAAGCTAAATGACCTGCTTATACAAACAAGGCATATAATTTAGCGAAACGAAACCATTTTGGCTTTAACTCAATAGCGATGTCCAAGAATCGAAGGACGAATAAGGATACAAACGTTAAGTCTATTTCGGTCAATCCTTTACTTCAGTGGGGTTACTTGATGTACGGTACTTGATGTACATATACCAAATCAGTTGGATTGCTCTTTAATTAATTGAATTTCAATTTTTATACTTTACATAAACCAATATTTATGAAGAGTATACTACATAACCTTTATGTTATGTTTATTTATTTTTTAATAAATGCACGATAACAATCTAAAAAAAATATTTTTATTATTGTTATTGCCTATTATGTTTATTGAATTTTTATGAAAAATTTTAACTCAGGTGCATAAACTAACTAAAATGGAGGTAAAACCAATTTCCGTAAATGGTCAAAGGACATTTTTGTAAACAGACAATTTTTGAATACGTGAGTACTAGCACATGTGTTATCGACAAATGTGGTAACCATCCAAACCGAAGCAATCAAAACAAATACAATAACCAGAATAAAACAAGCAAATTCAAATTAACCAAATATCCGGTAGTGAACCCACATACCATATACCCACTAGTATGAGTGACAACACACAGATACTTTTGAATGCATTGGTGTGTATGTAAAATATAAGTTGCTACAACTTCACTACAATTTTTATGTGCGGCAGCCAGGCAGCAGCCTGACAGCAATACGGCAACGCAACAACATAGCAATCTGGCAGCACTGCTCTGTATGCTCTGCTCGAGTTGCTAAGTTAACTGTCTCTATGGCAGCATGTTTCGAATTTCAGGTTAAATAAATAAGAATTTTGTGATTATGTTGCAGTTGGATTTCAATTGCAATGTAAGCTACATTGTCCTGCTCCACTTCTTTTGTACTTAAAATATAATTCATATTACATTCTTCCATGCATTACATTTGCACAGTCTAGTAACTCTCTTGGCTTTAAAGTGTTTTTAACTTAAGTGAATTTTTTATTAAATTTGTTGCTATGGCACTTGATCGAGCAAACCGACTGCACCAATGATTGCCATAATAAATTGAAAATATTATTTAAAAAAAATCCTTGTGTGTAATTGAGTTTCATACACACAAAATAACTAAAAGGAAACAAGAATTTATATAAAAATTTGAAAAATTAATATTATATTTCGGACTGTGATAGATAAATTTTAAAATTTAAGCCAAATTAAAAACATTTCAATTTTCTAAAATTTCATTTCATTATTATGGTTAGACACTAGTTTTGTTGGTATGGTATTTCATAGGACACAGAAAAAGTAAATATTTTTAACAATTTCAAAATTTGTTTCTAAATAAAATGTCTAAAGATAATTTTTTTCTAAAATTTATTTTTAAATTCAACTCAATTTCATTCTGAATAGTTAGTTTAAATTTTTTATCAAGGGAATTAAATATATTCACAGGAATTGAAAAGGAATTTGGTAATATAAAACGGTAAAGGACATTTATTTCAAAAAATTCGAGTGAGTAACTTAAATACTCACTATCGGAATATGTACATTATATTAATAGAACTAGGTTTTTATTTAAACTAAAAGCAGCCGAATCGCACTAAGACTATTTGAATAATAATAGAATAGAGTAATTTTTTTGCAAAACCCGAGTTATTTATTTCCAAATATAACACTATTTCCAAGTTTTGCTCCATACAACTGCTGGTTGTT